GCCTGGGCTGTATGTGGCATTAATCATATAAGAAATTTTTTTCCATGTATCTCTGATAATGCTTTTCAGCTGTTAACTTCACTGTCTGCTTATCTGATACTGTCCTCATACCTTTTCCCGCTCAGTCCTGTGCTGCTTATACTCATGACAGAGAAAAAAATAAATAAAACCCAGGAATTAGATCACCCAAGCTCATTACAGATCTTGAATCTGCAGAGGTGAAAGTCTCATGTAGTATCCCAGTGTGTTACTCAGCCTTCCCAGACCGGTTAATTTTAAAGTGATCATTTAGCACTAACCTGGAAACACATGACAGCCTTCAAAATCAAAACAATCTGTTTAGGCAGGTGGGAAATGAAACCAGTCCTAATGGCTATAATGGTTTTCTGTGAAGGCCCCAGGCCTCATTTTGTCTCTGATAGCAATATAATCTTTTATAGCGTCTGTGAAGTTTCCTAATAAATAAACGTTCCTTGTTCCTGGTTGTTGAAGATGCTGTACAGGTGCATCATGAAAGCGCATTGACAGACGGTCAGTTTTCAATTCAAGACCTCTTGTCAAGATCATTTTACAAGATATTTCAAAGGAGTATACAATAAATAAAAAAGCAATGTAGCTGCAGCAGGGATTTAGTAATGGATTCCCTTGCTGTCTGGGAGCTGTTAGGGATATAAGTTGCATCAATTTTCCCAAATTCTTTCAACTCCATCATTAGCAGTGCTTGCAAATCTGCCCTTAGTTTGGCAAGTGGGGAGGGAATGAAGGAAGGCAAGAAATATGAAGGACAGAGAAAGAGCAGCTGCTCCAGAATATCTTCTGTAGCTCCAGTCATTCCTCACTTATTCTCTGTCTTGGTTGTTTTTTTTCCAGAACTGGAAATGGGATTAAAATACAGAAGAGAGAAGGGAGATGGATTCGTTGCTTGCTAAAAATGCAGAGAAATTCCTTTTTTCCCTAGTTTGGTATTTTTACACATTCCCATTTCTCCTTAACTTCTCTTTGAGGAAGAAAAACAGTGCACATGATTGCAGCTGATGTTTAATGTGACAGAGGGAGAAAGAAAATAGGAAGGCAATGGAGGGACTTAAAATATCCATTTGATTATTGAAAAGTTAAACTGCAGTATCAGGTCGGAAAATTTTATTGCATTCAGGGTTGTCTCTTGGTGCCTTAAACCCTGCCATGGTGCAAGTCCTGCCTGGATCACCAACGTTTAAAGTTATCCTCACAAAAGCCCTGTGAATTGCTGTTCTTCCCTGGTTTATAGATGGACACATCGACCTCCCTTTTTCAGTTATAGGTGTGGCAAGGTGTGTTATTCTGTAATACAAATAGTATGGCAGATTCTCTCTCTCTAGAGTTCATTTCATTGCCTTGTCACACAGCTATGAGTAATGTGTTCCTGCCCTTATATACTGTCCACACTTAGAACACTCAGAAATCCTAAGATGTTTTTGTATTAGGAACTTCTATAAATATCTAATCCCATGGGGCAGCAGAACTGTAGCTGAAAGCAAGCATGAGTAACCCCTTAAAATCATCTTAATGGAAAGTTTATAAGTTGTGAATAATCCTGTTAAATGAAGGAAAAAAAAAAAAAGTGATTTATCTTAAAATATTTAAAGCAGATGCATCATTTCAGTAAGAAACCAATGTGCCTGAATTAGAAATGTCATAACTTCAAAGAATCTGAGTCAGTAGTTCAGAATGAAGTGACATAGCTTTTAAAGGAAGGCAAGCAATGCTGCTTTCCCAAAAGCAATCGGGAATACAGATAGCGGACACCTTAAAATAAACAGTGTGAAGTATAAACATGTGAAATAATGTAGGAATAAGAAGAGAAGAATATCCCCCCCCTGCAAAAAAAAAGTAATTTTATCTATAAGCTTTGAAACACAAACCCTGTTTTCTTCAGATGATGCTGGCATTGCAGGAAGGACGCACTTTTTCCTGCTCGATGGGCCTTGGAAGAGCCTTTGCCTGAGTTAATGCAGTAGAACAGAGTGAGCCCATATTCTTCTCTTCACATGCATTTCAAGCTCGCTTTTTATTGATGGCAGCCTCTTTTTTTTTACTAGACATACACATTTCTAATAATGCTGCAAATCAGCTTAGACACTACACCGAGAATTAGCTACCTAAAAAATAAGCGTTCTATTCATTTTAGTAACTGGAAACAAATGGTCATGGTACTATGAGCAGAGAACTGATGGTGCGTGTTGGGCATTTCTGTTTGCTTACATTGCAGTATGACACAGAAGGCCCAAGGAGGCTTAGCATGGGCTTGTCCTAGCCTGAGAGGGACTGCAAGGGATAACACTGCTTTTAGGAAGAGGACACGCTATCTAACCTGTGCTGTTCCTGCCAGGCAGTGGTCAACCCTGCTCTTAAAGACAAGACCCCTGCAAGGTCTGCTCTTGAGCGTGGCTGTCACTGCCGTTAGAAGTGTCTGTCTAACGCTGAGCCAGGGTCTTCTGATCACATCCACCCCGAGCGAGCGGAGCGCTCCGTCCATTTCCTCGCTGCAGCCTTTGGTATAGCGCAGTTATCATGTCCCCCTCCGTTCTTTGTAACGTTAAACAACCCCAACTCATTCAGTCTGTAATTAATGACAGTCCCTGCCCCAAGCAGCTTGGTAGTGGGCCCGATCAGCCTGATGTCATTACTTCACCATGACAATTTTCTAACTAACTCCATGTGATATTCCATCTGTCTGACACTATTAAAAACTTTTTATATAGCCCTTATTATTGTAGTTGCTGAGCTCCCCACAAACATCACAGTGAGGAAGGGAAGTGCCGTTATCCCCACCGAGGCACAGACAGATCATGACCTGCCAAGATCACACAACAAGTCTTATCAGAGAATTAAACGTAGTCTCTAAAGTCCTTGGCCAGCTCTAGCTGTGTGGTATGTTAATGTGGAGAACCAGGATGCTCCTGAAGTGCCAAGCAGGTAGGGAAAGTATGAGATCGTATGTGAGAATTTTATTATTTTTTAATAAAATCTCACTTTATTTTTAATAAAGGTGAGATTATGGGTATGATACCCCAGAAAAAAGTCAAGTACTTCAGGTTTTTTTTGGTTCCTGTGTGAAGTAATTTAATAACAGCACAATTACAGGTTCTTGTTAGTCAGATGTAACTGAGAAGCCATTTAATCCTCGCGCACCAAGAACTTTGCAGTTAAATTCTGTTTCATAAGTGTTAAGCTAAAGCACTAGCATATGGGCAGGGAACCTACAGTTAGCTAAGTGGCCCTCAAATGTTGTTTCCCAGAGCTTGCTGCTGTGTGATTTGCTTTCTACTTTATATTGAATAAGGGGTGTGTTAATGGGTGGCCCACCAAAGGCATTTGAAAGTCCTGCCTGGTCTTCAACAAAGAGCAGCATTCTTGGTTTAGCCTTCAAGCAATACAGACTGTGTCAGGAGCACAGACACTTTTAGCACTGGACACATGCACTAATTCAGAATTGAAGTTTTGCATCTGTGCTGTAGACAGATGTAGAAAAGTACCTTTTTGGCACTTTCAAAGTGTAACCATTCTGATCATGAAAATAGCAAGACAACATCAATTCTGCTAGATGTGGTGTTGCTCTTTACAGATGCAGTGCAGCAACAAGGGAAGAGGAAAATCACCTTAGCTGTTACTTAAGACAATTTCACTTAGTCCCAGATTAACTCTCAAATGTTGGTCACTGAATATTATCCTGTAATATGCACAGATTGTTTTGTAAAATCTCTTCAAAGTCCAGTTTAGAACCTTCTAAGCAAGCAAACAGAAAATCAAAGGAAAGGCAGTGGGACTGTTATCTATGTGAGAGATTACCAAAAGGTATGCTAGCTTAATTTGAGCCAGGGGAGCTGGATGGAGATTGCGTTTAACCAGAAATGCTGGCAAAAATACGCTTCAGTAGAGCCAGAACCACATGTGGCCATTCCACTTTAATTGTGCTTGTTTTAAAAGATAGGTCTTTAACATTTACCCTCTCCATGCTTGCTGTCTCTTTATGAACTGAAAATAAAAGCTCCCCAGGCAGTCATACTAAGACCTCAAGCCTAAAATTTTTCAGCTGAGTCAAAAGCAAAACCTGTGCTGAATCTGCCCCATGCATTTTTTTGTAGCCTTAAGAATATTTGACTTCTCTGCTGTTTTTTTCCCGGAGTCCCCGGGCCAGTCCTAACCCAGGGAGCGAGTGTTTTGATACTGAATGTATCTCCTTGGTGAGGTCAAAGGCGGTGGCAGTGGTGCTACTGGTTCGAAGGCAGCCTGCTGTAATATACTACAAAACCCGAAAGTACGCTCAACAATAACAAAAGCATTAACCGCTGACCCACAACTTGGTGAAATTCAATCCCACCATTAGGCAAACATGAAAATGAGATCCCAGAGGAAGGAAGGTTCAGATGTTCAAGATGAGAGAAATTGGGTGAGGAACACAGACAACGAGATGGAAGTTGCTGCAGACTGAGGAGAGAGCGGGGGAGGTTGCCAGTTCAGCGGTAGGATCTTTTAATACCATAAATTTCAACGTGCACTTAGCAGACAGTGCTTTTGCTGCACTTTGGAACAAAGCAAACTAAACCGGTTTATGATAAAGATACCTTTCACCATTTCAGGGACACGTTTAATGTGCTATAATTTGATTTGCCAGAGGCCGCTTCAGAGCTTCACCTTTCCAGATTTGCTTGAGGTCAGATGCTTGTGTCAGTGTGTAGGTGCTCACCACAGGACTGGAACGTTGCAGGAACCTGAAAGAGCTAAGCACCCAAGTCTGACTCAGCTTTGTCTGGTGTCAGATGGTTACAGGTTTGCACCACTGCAACCAAGTTCATCTCGGCAAGTGTCAGATGCCAAACTCAGGAGCACCCCAGGAAACACCGGTCGCAAGTGTCTCAGTAACGAGCCGTGGGTCTGTGTGCTGTCAGGCTCTCTGTCCACACCCGGCAGGACTGCACGCTCTCTCAGTTGTTGTTACAGCACGTTGCTTTTTTCCCCAGAACACACTCACTGCAGAAGACCGTTCTCCTGAAGACAGCTTCACCCTGAACCCTGAGGACAGAAGAGAATACCCTGATCTCCAGGCTGCCCACCGGCCGTTCCCTAAGCAGCGATTCAGGCAGGAAAACAGACATACGTCCTTGCAAAGAGATGGACCCAGATCTTTCCTCCTGGATCTCCCAAACTTCCCTGACCTGTCAAAAGCAGATATCAATGGGCAGAATCCCAACATTCAGGTACAAATTTATGTTAACGCATGATTTGTTTCTGAGCTGCACAAAATTACTTTACCGAACCAAGGCAGCTTTCAGCCTGACTTCCATGACATGCAGTCAGAACATCCTGCCTCTCTATTAATAGCACCAAGAGAGAATGAATATAGTATAATATAATGTAATGTAATGCTATATATATAAAATATATATAATATACTTTTTGTCTTAAGTAAATGCACAGATTTCTATTTTTTTCTGAATTTTTTTTTTATACTGTTGATTGAATAAGTGTGGGTATCAATATGGACCTATTTATGATAAAGCCATCTTTGCTATTGCCGTTTTGGAACAGGCTATCTTTGTTGTTATTAAATGCATATTTTTAATTCTGCTGCAAAATTTGTGAACAGATTCTCTTTTGGTATGTGATTATAAAATGCAGCCATCCCCAAAGGTTATAAGAGAACAAGTTTTTAAGTTTCAGTTCAAAACGTGGTCCTCTGTATGGAACCAAGACTTAAAGTTAATTTCTGCAGCAGCTGCTTGGAGTAAGAAAAAGTTCTCTGCAAGAAACTTTGTTACATGTTATTCCTCAAACCATTCTTGGGTTTGGAATGGCCTCTTAGAAGCCACTTGCATCTTGAAACTTCAAGGATTAGAAATAGGAAAAAATGAGTGATTTGTTTTTAATTCAGAGCCTTAAAGCAAAATTGGCATTAATAAGCAGTCTTTTTTAACCAAAACAATAAATTGAAATGTTGTTCTGCCTAAGATGTGCTTATAAAAACAATACACTAATAGAACTGGTTTTCTGGTTGAATTAATTCTTGGCTTCTTATATTCTCCAGCCCACAAAATTGCCATCCTTTTGATATGCCTGAGAAGTACGTACGTAAAGATACAATAGATCTGTTGGTGAGAGACCAACATGATCAGGCGAGAACAAGCTGTCTCCAGGCTGAGACTCCATTACGTCATAGGTGGCTTGCGATGTTAAGCGGCCCAACAGCTTGGCATCAAGTGTGGGTCCAGTAGTTGACAGGCCAAGGTAGTAAACGTGTTCGACACGTAGTGACCGTACACATCCCTCACGCTAGGAGAAGCCTTCCAGAAAGCCTTGGGAAGGGAAGGTGGGGAAGCTTTAGGGGCCCCAGGTTGTGGCGTGAGGTTAAGAGTGTGACGTCATTGTTTGAACAGTAAACTGCAGAGGAGGACAGGAGGAAACAAAAACCTTCTCTGATTGGTAACAGCATTCAGTGTTTAGACCCAGGGAACAGGCAAATGAGATAGAAACATTTCCCTGGCTTGTCTTTGCAGTAACTGCTTCTGCTACGACCTCTTTTTCCACCACCTGATCTTGGAAATGTGTCAGCCAGCTATGTCAGCAGTTTTGTTGCACTCTGAGAACTGGGAAGGCTAAACCTGTAAACTGGAAAACATTGGACAACGTTAATGCCAGAGTTCTTGTGCACAAGGATCAGCTATTTCAGAAACGGGCTCCCTAGATTCCACATTATATTTACTCTGGGTATGTAGGTGCATCAGTAGGGAGATACAAAGCTTAAGTTCCTGGTTGACACTCAAGCAGCAGGTCAGGCCTCAGGGAGATAAAATTCCTATTAATTCATTACAGAGTCAATTAAAGATTTTTTTTTTGCCTAAAAGTTGTAAAAGGTGGCCTGCTCTTCTGGGAGAAACAGGATTATAGTGCCTTCTTGCTTGTTACAGTACCGTACTGACCTGAATGGAAATAATGGCACTTGTTGACTTGCAAATTTCTCATCAGCTGTTTGGCAAGTGAGAGCAGAATCCATACTCTTTTGTCTTTTTGCACAATGGCTTTGGGCTCTGTAAGTTGCAGTCCTGGGGATTGTTAATTTAAAAGTCCTCCCAGGACAGCGAGGTTGGAAAGGAGAAAAAAACCTGTGTGTGTTAATCTAACACAGTAGCCACATTTACTTCTCAAAGACTCACAACTTCTCTTCCCTTCTACTAGTATGGATGTGCATGGACCAAAAATAACATTTTTAGGGAAATTATACCTGGAAATTTTAAAAACCTAATAAACAGGCATAAAACTCAGCCTGAAAAAAAAGGTAGAAAAGCTGCTCCAAATGAGTTCTTTTTATGGCTATTCCTTCTCTGGTTTCCTGTGGGATGGTACTTGCTGTGTCACGCCCTGGTTGTGTGATCTTCCAGGGAGGAAGTGCCAGATATCAAAACACCGTCACAGGAGTTCGGAAAATTATCATCTCCCCAGGTACTTATCAGCTGATAGTCAAATATAAGTATAGTGGACTGTCTTCTAGAAGAACCTCCGAAACAACAGCCAGAGCTGCAGTAATTGAAATGCAATTTGACTTTCTGCATGCAAGACCCGGATGACACTTACAGGTCTTTCTGTGGCATTCTAGCCTTGTCAAATCTCCCGTCATTTCAGGTGATATTTTGTGCTTCCACTCTGGTTGTTTGAGAGTAACTGCAGAAACTGCTGTTGAGAAAGAGCTGGTTTGGGGTATTTTGTCCTCTTCTTTTTTTTTCTCATTTTAACAATTCTGTCAGTGCCTGGAAGACTTCTGGATGAGAAGGTGACTACAAAACCCGATCACATATTTTCCCTGGATTTCCTTTCACAAATGGAAAGTCCCTCTTGTATAGGTTTGCACTCATTTGACAACCTAGCCGAGGGATGCCTATGCAGACCTTGTAATTAGACAGGGTTATTATTCAGAATAAGACAGATTTGTTCTTGCCCCTGAGTAACAGAATGCAGTCACGTGGGAGGTGTATAGGAACCTGCTTATTTTCCATTTCTGGTGGGTTTTCCTCATCTGTTCCAACCACCTTTCTGCAACCTCTTGGCTCTTCTCTGCAGCCAACCCTCTGTTCAGAGCCAGATGCTTCAACTTGCAGTTGAGCTCTTGCTCTTGTCCCTCCCCTTCTCTTTTCACTCTTGGTTTCCCCGGGCTTGTGTACTGTAACAGGTGGTGCGCTGCTCTCTGTTGTCCCACTGCTTTGCTGCTTTCCTAGCAGTGCTCAACACCATGAAAAATGAGCAGAAAAGGGAAAACTCTTTACTGTTTTTCAGGCAAGGGCATTTTGCTGTTATTAATGCTCTCCTGAGAACTAGAATCTTGATCAAGCTTCACAACCAGTATACCAGAAACACGGCTGGGTGAGTTCCAGTTGCGATGGAAGTGTTAAACACTTTGGATTAGGTGACAGGTTCCAAGTACAAACTGTGCAGAGTTAGGTAGGATTCCTGTCCTCAAAATACGTTGGCGTGCCATGGAAAATGGAAGTGTATCAGTATACAATTAAATCTGTTGTGATTATTATCCTTGCTTTGAGCGATTGGTAATAATTGCTAGGAGTGATTTTAAGCCAGAAGAAGTTAATGCTGCCTGCTTGGAGAAGTGTTGGTTTTACCACTTTGCATGAGGCTCCTGGGCCATATCCACCAGTCCTGACAGCCCAGTGTTGCTGTTAGCTTTATTTATCCTCCGATATCCAATTTCTACCTTCTCTTAAAAAAACATCTGCGCAGAACCACCCACTGGAGGAACATACACAACTGCGGATAAACGAGGCTGTGTGATTTGCTTTTAAAAAAAAAACTACAGACGTAAAACCAGCTCTTCTCTGGGTTCATCCATGGCCGTTTTCCTCCCCTCTATCTGTATCATATGTCACTTTTAACACAATTTATTAGCTGTATTTTTGGATAACATTTCTATTTGTCACTTGAAGCTGCTGCTTTCACTGCACTGGAAAGCAATACCCTCTCGGTATCGTCACAAAAGATTCTGCACTCTCTGTAATACTGAACTCATCCCTAATCTAGCACGGTAAGAATTGGAGGGCTCCAGTAGTGCTTGCTTCTTGTAATGCCTGTAAGGCTTAATAGTTTAAGGTAGTAGCAAAGCAATTGTACCTAGCTGCAGCTCTGGAAGCATGATGTAGCCTTGCCAGGAATGAGCTAGTGCTCTTGGCAAGCTGGAGAGACTACTCCAGGCAGAGCGGCGTCATGGTTAACCCACTTTCAGTACCAGGGCTGTTTCTACCTCTGTGCAGGTTAATGTCTTAATGTCACAGAGCTCACTGCAGGGTGCAAAATTTAGATCTGGGTTTCAGACCAGATTTTTAATTCTGGGGTTCAGTTGGGCCCATCAGAGAGTGGAAATAAGATTGACAACATTAAACGCAAATTTCAGGTTTCGAGTCACATTGTTGTCTTTGCTCCCAGCAAATTTCGAGGGTCCTTCACTTTTCATCAAGTCCAGAAAACTGTTCTAAGTGAGCTGTCATGACATAACCAGCAGTAAAATTGGTGTCACTACTGATACCGTTTTAACTGAAGTTGTTATGTGGTGTAAACCTACATTTACCATTTCAGTGTCTTATAATGAACTTCTGTTCTGCTGTTATAGTTACCTCATTGCTGACTTGCACATACCCACATTTACTGAATGGCAGGTTCTGCACTGCAAATTTGCATCAGTTGCATGAGGGAAACAGGATAGAAATGTCTTAGAATCCACTGCTTGCACAATATTGCAAATGTAGTTCTTCCCGAAACATAATCTTCCAGTTGCTTAGGGAAATGTTTACACCATTAAAGTGAATTCAGAAACATTGTCTCAATAAACAGGACGAAGTACACAGAACTTTTTGTGCACTCCAACAGTCAGGGATGATACTTATCTTCTGTGTATTTTTGGCCAGGAGAAAATTGGATGTTGATGTCTCAAGACATCTGCGCTTGTTACATTTGTTTCATTAGAAATTGACTGCAAATTTGTTGTTTTAATGTACCTATGCCAATTGTTTTTAAGAATTTTTAGAGGAACATCCTTATTTATAGCTCACACAACCATAAAAGAAGTGGCTTCATTTTAGGTTTGAATACTTCTGAAGATGATTGTGGATTTATACAAGAACCATATTACCACAGACATTTTGGGAAGCTTGAGAAAAAAGTAAATAATCGTTACAGTTTTGATAATCTCTGGAAGAAGAAATCAGAGAAAATGAAGTCTTTAAAACAGTCTCCAAGAGAGAAATACTAAACCAGGTCTTTTTTTTTTATTATTATTTTTTGGGGAGAATGTGTTTCTGTTGGAGTAGTTATACAGCATGAAAGCTTTTCCAGAGCTGCTTTAAATGCCCATTTTTAATGACTTTATATCTGATTTCTTCTTCCCTTTTTATAAACAACCCCCAGCATAGAAACTGATAGAACAAGTTATATGTTTGTGTAGCAGATATAGGTATATGTACAGTCATGGGCTAATGTTAAGTGTAGCTGTAAGTACTGGGAAGAATTCAGTGAATGCTGATTTTTCAAAATTTTAGACTGGGATAGGGGAGCCATTGCTTGCCCAAAGCAGCTGCCTCTTCACACACCTCTGCCCTAACTTTTGGGTCATATGATGGCAGGATTACTAGGATTACTGACTGATTTCCTCCCTGCCTCTGCAAGGTCCATTAGAGTTAAATGGGGCTGGGCAGAGCATACCTGAGTCCCTGAAAAGAAACAGAACTAGAGTCAACTGATGCTGTCTTTTTTTTTTTTTTTTTTTCTTTTCCAAGAGTGGCAGTTCAGACAGTCCCAGGATTCTTTATAGAATTTATTTCAGTCTGTGGTTTTTATGGCACACGTTAAACAAACAACTCGGTAATCAATGCTTAAAACAGTGGAGACAAGAATGTAGGTGTGTGTCAGACTACCACACTGGTTTTTCCTTTTGTTATGTTAATTTTTAAAATAGTCAGTGTGATGGAAAACTCAGCTTAAAGGCCTTTGTAATAAGCCTCCTTAGTAGCAAAAATAAGACTGAAGAGGGATACCTGATTGCACAGAGATTTCTTAAAAGTAAGTTGGTGGCAGTGCTGTTGGAGGTCTGAGGAGGTCTTCCGAGCCTGGAAGTTCGTGCGTTACACCTGCCTCTCCTCCCCGGTGTAGCACATAGCTCAGCAGGAGTTTCTCTGTCCCTACAAACCCTTCTGCTTAAACTGACTTGGCATCCTGAATAAGTACTTCAAATCAAATCCCTGTGGTTCTTCCAACTGTACCTGGCTGAAATAATGTGAGTTCATGCTGCTTCACTATCATGTAACCCCAGATTACCAAAGCAAATGGAAAGATTATCAAGTGCCCTTGCCTGTTTTTATGAGAGGGTTTGGTTTTGTTTTTTTTTTTTTGGTTTTTTTTTTTTTTTATCCCCACTTTGCTGTGTCATTGCTTACAGAGTTAATGTGGTCTTGAAAATACTTGCTACTTAAGTACTAGAGTCATACTAATTTTCACGTGGGCAGTACTAAAGCTCTGTGACTGGCCAGCAGTGCAGTGTTAGCCACTCAGTAACATTATTTCCTTTTGCTTATTGTGAAAACTGTTTTGCTTGGATAGATGCAACAATTTTGAATCCCTGAACTAACCCTGATGTTTTCAAACTTATGAAATCCATTTTAATTCTTGGTCTGTAGAAACTGAGGTTTAATGAAGTAATCATTCCAATTCCATATTTAGTCTGAGAGTAAAATATCTCTTGTGTAAAGATGCTATTAGGCTGACAACTGCACTTTCCCTCACTCTTGCTCTTTCTCCCAGTGGAGCTTCTTAGTAGCCTCAAAGTTGTTTCATTTCAGTGGCTTGGTCTATGGTCAAATGTAAAGCATGAAATAGACGCAAAATCTCCTTTCTCCAAAAAAGGATGTGTGGGCATTGTCTTGTCTGTGCAGCTGTGTCTGCAGCTATGAAGATATGGCAGCAGTTCCGTTTTGCTGCTTCTGTCACACTCCTCTGTGGATCACAGGTAGCTGAAGAAACATGGATGCTCCTTTCTCTCTTCTTTGCGTGTGTGTCTTGTGATTTTACTGATAACAATTGTATAAAACTAAACATGCAGATCCAACATGCAAATCCACAGAGCCATGTAAATGACTTTCAGCGTAGTAGTACATGATTCTGTTTTTCCTGGTTTTACACGACCCAGTTTTCATGGCGTACCATCTCGAAAAACTGCTTTGTAAATCTATAAAACATGAGGAATACCTCCGTACCTATTAGTATTAAACATTATAGGTAGAGCTGGTAGTCACTTCTGTGTCATGGCTGCTTAGCCAGGCCAGTGTAACCACTGCACCACACTAGCATGAAGCATCAGAGCATTTTCTGATTTGTCTGTGGCCATGCTGTGCTTGCGTGACTCCTGGAGCCAAGGGTTCTTATGGGAAATTCCTATTTCTACCTAAATAGGCACCTATATGCACAGACAGTATTTATCCAAGAGTTTCATAATTACACATTGTTCAGCACAGAAAAGGAGTAATCGGGGGTTGTTCTGATGAAGAATTATATTTACGTTCACGATGACTGTGAGGGAATTGGGCATCAAACTTTGAATCTTGACTCTGGGCTTCTGCAGAAACCGTAAACGAGCTGGATATCAGTGTGCTCTCCAGCACGGAGAGAACCTGCTTCAGAGGGCTGGGCAGCAAGTGACTTACTCAGAGACGGTTGAAAGAGCCGCTGGCTCTCGTCACCGCGGAGCGTAGTTTCAGAGAGCGGTGACAGCCCATGCCGCTGTGTGGTGGAAACGCTGGTGCTGCAGGGAGGCTGTGCAAGGGGCTGGGCTGGGCAGCTGCTGGAGGGCAAGGCAGATGCAAACCTGGCAGAGATCCCGGGCTTTGCGTCTCTCACCTTCGCACTCGTGGACTTCCATAGCCCTGTCTTGAGTCACTCCGAGTCCTCGGAACGGGCCCTGCACGCCGGTGTGCTTCACGTTTGCCTCAAATTCAGCCTCAGCATAATTAAAGTAACAGATTGGGTTTTCTTTTTCCTGGTCATGTATGTTCGGTTTTAAACATCTTTCCCCCATAAGGCAGAAGACTCTGCTGCAAAGGTTTTAGGCACAGCATGGGTTATTATTTTATACGGGGTTTTTCCTAGCCTTTGTTCCAAGGTCTGATTCAGCAGAGGTAGCAGAAGGAATCACTCAGCCGCTGCATATCTCTGGGCTCAGTAATCCGCATATGGTTTACAACATGCAAACCCTACAGTCTGACACAGCCCCTTTGCGAGGCAACACCAGTCATTTGTCTTCACCATATAGAAAGTGTCCCCCTGGCTGGAGGAGGTACTGACCAGCAGGCTGGTCTGGTTTGAATCCCGCAGGTTACCATTGAAGTGGTGGATGGCCCCGACACTGAGACAGACAAGGAGCTGCAGAAAGAGAGCAGCAAGCCTAGCTGGCCAGTCCCATCACCCGACTGGCGAAACTGGTGGCAGAGGTCCTCCACCTTGACCCGCATGAGCAGCGGTGACCAGGACTACAAGTATGACAGCACGACTGAGGACAGCAACTTCCTCAACCCTCTCGGTGGGTGGGATAGTCATGCACCCAGTCACCGGACGTTTGAGTCCAAGGAGCAGCCGGAGTACGGTAAGTTTGCGTTCCAGGCCCCTTATGGGCATCTTGGGATTGTAAAAATGAGTTTGGGGGAAATGAGAATGGTGAGGCATCGCTGAAAGTAGGCCAAGCAAAATAGAGTTTTTCAACATGTGGCTTTTGTTCATCAGCTTTTAAATACAAATCTGTGCAGATGCACAAGCTGTACTGTGGTAGCTGCATTCCACTAGTAAGTCTGTAATCTTGAAAATCATACCAGTTATCCCATAAGAGGACCTTTTTTTAGTCCTGAGTGTACTTTTTTTAAAAGCAAAGGAAACAAGGTTTCATATTTATTTATAGAGTAAGGATAAGTACAAATTTAGAATCACGTGGTGGTTTGGGAACCAAAATATAATTATTGGATAAATAAGCGAGATCCAAAACGTGGTAGTATTTGGTGGATACACAAATAAGATGAATTATGTTGGTGCATGTTTGGGGAGTGGCATGTGCAGCAGGAACATTGTGTATTTGCGTGTGTAATTCTCTTCCAGATGTGTCATGGCGAAAACAATTGTTTTCAGCTTGTTGTACGAAACAGTTGCAGAAACTAGAAACAGAGAGGAGCTATAGTTATCCACTGCCCCAACGGGCTGCAGCTATCCACATGGGCATGACTCGAGGGCTGTCAGCTCATACGTGCTCACAGATAGTTCAGAGCCTCTCGGATTTAAGTTGTATGTAAATACAGAAGATTTTTAGTTGGAGTAGGGTTTCAAAGCCACAGCACTTTTACCCTGGCACTTCTGTTGCATTCCCTAGATACTGCAGAGTGGCTGTCATGCACTGATTCAGTCTTATTTTTCCCATTTTGGTTAACTTTAAGGCCTAGAGCCTTAACAATTGAGAGAGACTTTTTGTGGAATGGTGTGTTTAAACACATACATGTGTATTACATTTTGTGGCCAGAAGATTAAAGTCTGTCCCTTCTTTTTGCACCTGCATTTATTTGTGGACACACTTCGTGGCCAAGAATTCATATATTAGGTAGTTACTCAGTTCGGTAAAATAAAATTGCTTTCACAAAGAATTGCGGTAGAAAAAAAAATAATGAGAATTAAAAATATAAAAATAGGAAGAACACGTTGAGCTCCAGCTGAAAATCTAACGTGACATATTTAATAGTCAATACTGTGTGTTTCATAGTGCAGTATAAACACTAGGTAGGTAGATCTAAAAATTATTCAAGAGCTCTCTGCCGTATGTATACCAGAGCACCCTACTAATTGGAAAAGACTCCTGGCCTTCTGACTAATCTAAAATGTCGTGTGCCATCGGCCTGGGCCAGGAGGATGTAGCAGCAGATCCTGCCCATTTGGAGCTTTTATGTCAGTTCCACCCACCGAGACCCGTTGCCACGTTTCACGGCTCTTATCTCCCTCGTCCTGTCTCTGCCAAAAAGCGCCGCACGGCTCTGCCTGCCCTTCCTGGGCCTCCCAGGCCGGGCTTGCTGACAAGCATTGCACCTGCTCACCCTCCCTCTTCCTCGCCAGCCACGTGGAGGGAAAAAATCAGAGTTGGGAAAGAGCTGGGAAGAAGCACAGGCCCACGGAGAGAGGGCAGGTCACGTTTGCCTGAGGTGCCTTATGCCTCTTCAGACGGCTGTAGTGCCAGCCTGTCGGCAAAGCCCAGAATCGCGGGTCTTTGCGCACCGACGGTGGCCGTGTTCCCACCCGCGTCACACCACGGACGCCTGACTCAAGTGCGGCGGCTGCCCGCCCGGCGGCAGCGTGCGGAAGGGAGGGAAAGCACACACGGTCCCTGCCACGGGGAACTCGCATCTAGGCAGCTTGCTGCGAGCGAGATATATAACCTTCCCGCACTCCTGGCAATAAACATTTAATAGCACCCCACAGAGTTGTCGTCAGTCATTACATATGGTACAAATCAAGTTACGTGTTCTACTAACCAGCTCAGGAAGCCCACAGACAGCATGGTGGGGGGAGCGGGAATCGCGTGTAGCACAGAGGCCGGGGCAGGCAGGGATCGGTGTCTGTGCCGAGAGCTGGAGAGCAGGGCTGGCTCGGCCACTAAACCCGGGTTCGCTTCGCTGCCGGCGCCGGTTTAACCCGCACGAGCACAGGCTGCGAGCGGTGATCGCAGGGTCGGTTAAACGCCTCCTGCCAGTTGCAGAGAAATCCGTTCGGCCAGGCGTCCCCCAGGGAGCCGGCGCTTGGCTGGGGCGGCCAGTGGGAAGGCGAGAGAACCGGGCGGGGGGCATGGCCACCGTTTGGGTGGCTTTCACAAGGCGGGCAGGGCGGCCGTCGCCTCGGCGCACAGAGCAGCCCGGTTCTGAGCGGCTCGCACGCTTACCGGGGCAGCGAGCCGCCGCCGCGCAGACTTGGTATCACCTGCCCTGAGCTCTCTGCCAGGAGAAAATAACCTCGTGGTTTGTTTTCCGACGGTTCCTGCTAGGAAGCAGTCAGATTTGATGTTCGTTCACATGAAACATTACAAATTGCATGTTGTTCTGGGCGCAAGGTGCATATGCAGGCCCCTGTATTTAGGGCAGTGCTCCTCTAATACCTGTTTCTGGTTCAAGGGACTGAAAAACAAAATCACAATTTTCAGGCTTGACCCTCAGCCTCCTATAGTGCAACGTTCATTGTGTCCTAAAAATTAATGAGTATTGTTGTGCTATCGCTGTGTGTTTTGAAAGGAAGAGAAAGAAAACTTCGTTTATCCTATGCCTGATTAGTCTGTGGTCAAAACCCATATTCCTATATACAGGGAAATTATGCGAATAGATGTGTACTGTTAGTTCATGACCCAGCTTTGCAGCTGAGGATTCTCAGCTGTCAAAAGGTCAAAAGAGAAAGGAAATATTTTTTCAAATAATGTAGCATGCATTTCCCTGAGGAGCATCAAGTGTGAAAACCATTTAAACAGCAGGCTTACGCCTGGCATTTAGCCCGAGCTCCAGGTAGAGACATCTGGATTCCATTCTTGTTTTGCCTTCTTAATAAAAACCACTACACAGTAGTTTTGGCTAGTAGGAGTTTTGTTTCTTCATTTCCTCCCTCATCTTTGTTCTTGCGCAGACTATATTGATGGCGAGGGAGACTGGAGCCCGTGGTCCCTCTGCAGCGTCACCTGCGGGAGCGGCAGCCAGAAGCGGACGAGGTCCTGCGGGTACGCCTGCACCGCCACGGAGTCACGGACCTGCGACAGGCCCAACTGCCCAGGTGTGAGCACGCTGGCGGGGGGCGCGGGGCAGGCGGGCAGGAGAGCGAGCCCCCCCGCGCAGCGAGCCCGGGGCCCGCCTGCTCCCGGGCTGGGTGAGAGCGGCGGCGGGAAGCGGCACGCTGGGCTTCAAGGCCATCTGTGGAATGGCAGGTTCTTGGCTAGTGATGATACACTGCCAGAGGCCCTCTGCTCTCCCCGGGGACTTCAAAGACAAATACAGGCTTTTTGTTTCGTTTTTTTTGGTTTGTTTTTTTTTTTTTAGGTTACGGCAATCATTTTTGTGCATAGTATGTTTTGTATTCCAAAGGGTGTAATCCACTCTCTGGAAACAAATTTGTATTAATTTTAGAATTTCAAAACAGCTGTGCTGACTGTTACCTCGGTGAGCTCATCTTTTGCTGTGCAGCGAACGGGCATGCCTGTGTTGTGACTAAATAGCTTCCCCCCAGTTATATGGCTTTGAAGTTTTGTGCCTAATGTACACAGAGTTGCTTTAAGACTCCATGTATATTAATACGAAAAAAAAAAAAAAACAAACCAAAAAGCTTTAAATGCCTGCTTTGCGTTTCGCTCCAGAGATTTCGGGTTCATTGAGCACTAAGCTACAAAATCTCCTGTCCCAGAATGTCAGTGTTAAGGCGGAAATGTCCTTTCTGTTTCACTATATGTTGCTTGATAATTGGAGAATTATAAAACGGCAAGTTTGGTCCGGCAACAGCTGTGCACAACGGGATGAAGCAATGTGTAATTTGGGCTTGAATGTATTCAGAAAATACGGCCAAGGACCCTAGCCCCCACCTGTCTACAGGCACTGACATTTAAATGCCAGTAATGGAGGTGTCCTCACCATCATGCGGTTTTCACTTTGGTGAGAGCAGAGCTGAGCACTCAAACCTGCGTTGTAAAAATTTAAAGCTGCTATGGAAGACTTTCCCACAATGGTCTTTCAGTGCTGCTGTGCATTTGGATTTGGGCAAGTTTGTAATGCAGTGATGCAGCAGTTGCCACAATGCATGGGATATGTGCAAGTGCATTACTTCCCAAGATCGGAGAGAAGTAAAAACGCATGCTGAGGTGCGAGGCATTTCACCGAGTTTACTTAATGACTCAAAAAAAGCAGAAATTCTTAAACTGGAGGTCACATTTTTTTGATGGGAAGTGAAATATCCGTAGTGCTGGAGGGAAGACATAGGAGCCTCGGTGAGAGAGTCAGAGAGAAGTTTCTCACTCGCAGAGCGATGCGTGCACCCACTGCAAGGCAGCGGCTGCTGGGCAGTTCGGGAGAACAATGTTTCTGGATGCTATCATACATCCTATAAGAGGTTCATAATAAGAGGTTAATTCCAGAGGAAAGCATGTAGCCCCTAGTTATATTCTCCAGTATTTATTCCCAGCTAGCGTCAAACAGTGGCAAACTTGAAAGAATATATTATGTCATATAACAGACCCCCAACGATCAGCAAGCAAAATATATTCACTCTCTGAGGCTGTGCTGACATTTTTAAAATTACAAGGGCAAAGCTCAGCTTCTGCTGTTTATAATTCCAGCAGTGAATTACTGCCTTGTAATGGGTTCTTGGGTATCTATTATTCTGCATCTACCACTGGAGTTAAGGCAAAACCCTATGATAATTTTATTGAAAAGCGGCCTGAGGCCGTTTTGAAGCTTTGCAAGCCGCTATTATGCCCCAGTTCGGGAGATCAGGAGAAAGTTCATTGGCAAGAAGATGGATAGTGAACAGACTTCATGATTAACCATAGAGTTATCACGTATTAGAGAGCTTTCTGCTCTCTTTGGAGGCCTTTAATTCAACGGAGAGGAAAAAAAACACAAACCTGTTCAAATGCTTCTTTGAAGAGACATTTGTTTTAAGGCTACGTGGCACAGAAACGTTAGGGAAACATGAGGCTGGCAGGGAGGCCTAACTAAAGCAGCAGTGAAAGGATGTTTACTTTGACAAGATCCATTAATAAATATTCTGGCAATCCATGTTTCTCTTTACTGATTAGCAAACACTTGACTGGAGGCTGTTGGAGGAGCCTGATATTTTCTTTGATTGCTACAGGTGGGGGGGTGGGGGGTGGGATTGATGGGCAAGGTTAGTTATCTCTCACCTACTCCCACCTTTCAACTCCCCAGCATGGGGAGAGACCAGCAAGCACCAGTCTTCTTGTAATAGTATAATTCTTCCTCATACTTCCTGAAAAATAGTTGCCCACATACGGATATGAACTTACTCACCTGTCTTCAGGCATGTTGCTCCACTTTGGGAAATGGCACAGAGGCTGCCTCCTGTAGCCATCACGTTTCACCCAGGGCTTCAGAGCTTCCACCGGGACACTTGCTTTTGTCTTGTCAGTCACTTGTGATGCATGTTCTGGAGAAGGTGCTGGTCACATACAGCTGACCAGGTGGCTGTTAGTGAAACGGGCGCAAAGCTCCTACCTGAATTCCTGGGAGATGCTGTCAAGCCTTGCATTGGGGAGAGGAGGAACAAAATCGGTTCCCTCGCTGCTGTCCCTGCACTGGCTTCGTAACCGACCAGGTCGTTGCTTAAAAAGAATCTAAGCTCTAAAACTTGAAAACTTTTGACCTTTGGGTTAAGCTAATACTTTCATCTTCCTAACATCACAGATCCCCTTGGTCATTACACCTTTAAATGAACACCCCCTCCAGCAGCACCTTCAGATTACTTCCCTGCCAAAGAAAAGCACTGCGCAGAAGTGGGCAAGGAGGGGGTGGCAGGGAGGCAGCTGATTGTGTTGGGTTTTAATAGGAAAACACCACCCCCACTAACTCGTGTTTGTCTTAGGGATCGAAGATACCTTCCGGACAGCTGCCACAGAAGTGAGCTTACTTGCAGGAAGTGAAGACTTCAATGCTACCAAGCTATTTGAAGTTGGTAAGCAGCCTAGCCAATCCTTCACTGATAGATAAGAGACTTCCTTGGGTTTTCCTGTTTTGACTCGCTGTGGGACCAAAATTTTGAGTTTCCATTAAAAATGTCAGTAGTAATGGCCATTTATTATCTTCCTTAAGTTTACTGTCTGAACCTTAGCTTGCTTCTGCCATAGAATGTTTCTTCTCTTAAGCCTTAGCAAATTTCTGTGCTTCTTTCGTTATAAAATGGTGATTCTCTGTCTTAGTTCAGAAAAGCACTGTAAGGCTCCACACTAATGAAGGGGAAAAAAAGTCAAACACCGCTTAGCATTTTGCAGAAATACCTTCAAATGGAAGATACTATAAAATCGCTTTGGGTGCCGCTATCATATTGAAAAAAAAAAAAAAGACAACAACAACTTTTATGAGCATGAGTAGCTTTTATAACTGTGTGTGCTGCAGTGGGGCTAGCCAAAGCAATTTTATAGGGCCTGGCTCGATACTGATCTATCTGTAACTGAGCCCAACCTCTATAATGTTCTGTTTTCATCCCTCCAATGAAACTGCGGCATAGCCACTCTTAGACACTGGATGTTGGACTAATTGGATAAATAATATAATCCAGCACCTCCTTCCTAGGGTGGTAGATCACAATAGTTAATGACAGCCGGGATAGGACTCTCTAAGGAGATAGGAAAACAGGACACAGATCACTAAGTAAATATTTTGCAAGAATGTTTGCTGTAAGAGCTTTAGGTCCTAGTCTTTGCCTTACTCCTGCGTCCTGTTAAAGTAAGTGTGGAGCAAGATGTGCAGGTTTGGGGTTTTTTTTTGAAGTCCCATAGCATGATACAGACACCTTAAATAATGTTTTAGGTAGGAGACATTTAATTGCATTCTCCTGGGACGCTTGCAAAATAATAAAGTGCCAGTATTAAATATGCTACTAGTTTATAAATCTCCTTAATCCCAGCTATAAGTCATGGCTTTGGTGCCGTTCAATCCTCCTCGTGTGCAGACACTGATATTATGCCACATATGCCCTTTTAGAATCCGAATCGCTTTTGGGTGCGTTTGCCAGCTAAGATGTCAGTCTCCATGTTTGAACTACAGCTGCTTGAAACACCCCTTTGTTGGGACTAGGGTTTCAAACTGGAGTCTGGCATCAAATCACCGTGGTTTCCCTATTTCAGTTCTGTCGCCTGTAAGCCCATGGTAGTGCCTCTTGTGCTGCATGGGGATATTGGCACCTTAATTAGAATCTGCCAGGTGGAAGAAGTGTCAGAGATTCTTACTGGCATGGTGCTGCGCTGTAACTCAGACTAGCACTGCCTCAGGCCCTAGAGCCAGTCACACAGCTGATTTCTTTATCTGAGAAGGCAGCGCGTTAGCATGTCAGTCGGAGGCAGAGAGGCAAGCTTTGACTGCCCTTTCCTTCTTGAGCAAAACACTGGTGCTGAGCAGTTACACTTTACTCACTTTCTGTCACTGATCATGGGAACTGGGATGCTGCATAATGTATCTTAAGTTTCCATTTCCTGCTCTTAAATAGATACTGATAGCTGTGAAAGATGGATGAGCTGCAAAAGCGAGTTCTTGAAGAAATACATGCACAAAGTGGTCAATGATCTTCCCAGCTGCCCGTGCTCCTACCCCAGAGAAGTTGCATACAGCACTGCTGAGATCTACGATCGAATTAAGAGGAAGAACTTCCGCTGGAAAGATGCAAGTGGTCCAAAGGAAAAACTGGAGATCTATAAGCCCACTGCACGCTACTGCATCCGCTCCATGCTGTCTTTGGAAAGCACAACACTTGCAGCACAGCACTGCTGCTACGATGATAATATGCAGCTGATTACCAGAGGGAAAGGGGCAGGTACACCAAACCTGATCAGCATCGAATTCTCAGCAGAACTCCATTACAAAGTGGACATTCTGCCTTGGATTATATGCAAAGGTGACTGGAGCCGATACAATGAAGCACGGCCTCCAAACAATGGGCAGAAGTGTACAGAAAACCCTTCAGACGACGACTACTACAAGCAATTTCAAGAAGCAAGGGAATACTGAGAAGATTATCCTCCTCTTCAGACACAGAACAGCATTCGTTTCCTGGGTGCCAAAGAACTGATAGCGGCTGCTGCATCGTCTCCTTGACAGGGGCTGATCAGTTTCTTTCTAATGAATGTATATAGTTGTAATATAATCCGTAAGTATTTTTCATAGTGTGTGTAATTTATAAACACGTATCTCTCTATCTCACACACACCTATTTTTACATACAGACATACATAAAACTCGTCCTGGTAGGATTTTATACTGCAATAACATACATTTAATAACGTGCATTTCATTTTATTCCCCAACTGTAACCCAAGTGTGAGGTGGGGCGGGGGCAGCTGCCATCACCGTCCGGCCCCAAGGCCCCAGCTGAGGAGGGCACATATTTAAAAGTTGGTATAAACAACAGGATTGAAGAATGTACTCTTCCATATGGGAATGGTTTACAAGATTAATGCACCTACAGCATCAGTTTTCTCCATAATTGATTTCATGGCTAGTCATATCAGAGAAAGGAAGAAATTTTTTTTTTTTTTTCGGAAGGGCAATACTCAAAGATGAATATAAACAGTTAATAGCAATTTTTTCTTGGAATTCTTCCTGTTACCTTCTAGCTCAGGTCTTTGCAGTCCATCTGGGGTAGGCTTGCAGGGAGACATAGCTGTGGTTTTCCAGAAAAAGCTCCGATGCAGTGGTTCTGCAAGAGTTACAGCAACCCACTCCTGGAGACATCTCGGATACGGAGCTACAGCTGTCAGGGCTTACATCTTGTGCTGGGGAGCAGATCTTCACGGCAGCTACCTGTAAACTAGGCGTGCTGTAAGTCTGAGGAGGAGTGAGGCCAGAGAAGGAAACCATGTGAAAGAAAAAAAAAAAAAAAAAAAAAAACAAAACACAACAGTTACTTCCCAGTTTTTAATACGAAGAGTGTTTAGATCTGATTGTTTCTTTCTTTTCTCAAAAGAAAGAAACAAAGTTTATTTTTTTAAAGAACAGGAAAACTGGAATATGCTTTTCTGTGTTCCCTGAGATAAGGCATGCAACCAGCCCTTTTCCCCCATTTATCATATGCTGAGTTCACAGTGTCCTACAGAAGAAGCTATTCTTTAAAGAAGCTGTCTGGCAGGAACTATTGGTGAGTGAAAAAGTCGTGATTTTTTTAAAAAAAGCTAGCATTATTTTTGTAAAGTATTTATTGAATTGTAACAATAACTCACATACGGGATATGTCTCTGACATGAAAGGCTTCTGTAGATGGAACTTGATTGCCAAGAATAAGACTGTTGTTAGGCGAAGGTTTTACTTCCACATTTTTATAAAGTGCAAGTTTACATCCGTAAGCCTGTAATGAAACAGCTGATACCTGCATTCTTATGAAAGATAAAAATGACACCGTGGGTAAATAAATACTTCAGTTCCATCCTGTAACAGGCCGTCTTGCTGCAAGTCAATGTCCCCATTTGGAAAGCTAAGGCTAAGCGTTACGAGAGCAATGCCTGTGTTCGGGTTACGTGGCCTGACACGTCCGTGCAGTGCATGTGGAACTGCACGCAGCAGTAAAGCCGATCCCGCACCGCAGTCGGTCCCAGCTGGAAGAGTCAAAACAGCCGTGAAGGACAATTCCTTCTGCTCGATGCATGCAACACACACGTGCTGTAAATCTTTTCTCTAGCTCTGTTGGCCTCTCGGGCGCCGGTTGATTGCGACTTCCTGGCCAGGCGTGTGCACGGTCCCCCCCAGCGTTAATGCGCGCATCGGGAGCCCGCTGAGTCTGGGGAGGGGCAGGCTTGTGTTGGCCTGACCAGGCGGGACCAGTCGGGGGATTAAAAACCAGCCGGGGCCTTGGACACCCCCTCTGACCAAGTGTGCGGTGCATGCGGTGCGGAGGCTCTCCCCGCCTCTGCCAGAGCTCGTCTGACGGGCTGCAGAGCCCCGGCGCTCTGCTGAGGCTCCAGGTTTCGTTTCCAGAAACGCGGCGGTCCCGGCACAGCTACGGCGGGTGCGCACAGCACCGGATCTCCTGAGGTAACTTCAGCGGCCGGGAGTCTCGGCCGAGTCATCGGACCTTCCCAGAGGCATGCCTGTATCGGAGCTGGGGGGAGACCTGGGTATATTCCAGCACTAGCTGGTAGTAACAAAACATGGTTAGTTGAGCAAGAGGGTGAACATGGGGATCGCCCCTTAATTCTTATGAAAACCAGGTTTTGTAAATTCTTGAAAGGTGATAAGAAGGAGCCACTAAGTACTGGAGCCAGTTAAATTGACAGCAGATGGATGAAAGGCATAAGCAGCTCCAGGATCCGTCACTTAATAGGGAAGACAGGTATTTTCTGCAACACGGGGGAGAAAGCACTTTTTACTTCACGTAGCAGTGGAGGCGGGGGGGGTGTGTGTGAAAACAGTCTCGGGTTTCTCTGGGAGGGCAGTGAGAGGGTGGTCGCAATTTGGGGAATATAAAACACATCCCTGCAGTTTATGGAATAGTAAATTATGGTGCTATTGAGAATAGCTACTGCACCGTGAATACTGAACATAACAAATAAAGTGTCAAGAAAGAGGAAAAATTAGTCTGATGAACGAAATGGCGCACAGAGTTTCAGATGTGACCACTCAGAATTTGCCAAGGCTCGAAACCCTGAGGAGCCTAACAACCACTGATAAGGACCCACCAGGTTTTTGATAGGATGAGTCCTAGAGCACAGAACAAGAGAGTATTTGCACCTTCTGCAGTCTTAAGCAACAGTCTTTATTAAAAACAAAGTCCTATTTTATAATAAATTATGATCCACTCAGAGCTGGGCTGCGTTTTTTCTTTTCTGTTTTCTTTATCACCTGTCCAAGGACAAAATTTGTACCTGGAATGACCTCACGTAGTCACCCTTAGCAAGGTGCTGGAGTTTACCATGGCCAGATTTGGCTCAGTCTCTCAAATACAGAGCTCTTCATAAGACCTGAGGAAGGGTTTGTGGCCTTACGTTCCTAGGCACAGGTCAGTAGTTGGAGGAAGCTGTTACATTTCTAAGTTAGCGCAGAACGGGAATATTGGGAGACCCAACCAGAGATAGGAGGGGGATTGAAACAAGCAGAATTAAACAGGGCTCGTGGTCTCAACACTGAGAAATCCTCAGAGGCCCCCACAGGTCGCCATCCTGCTTCCCAAAGGGAAACTTAAAATACAGACCTTGCCGCAACCTCTCCGTGCCTGAGCAGTCCCGTTTGCTGATTTCCCACCGGCAGATACAGAGTTGGGCGTTTGCACCTCCTGAAACACCTCAGGTGTCTCATCCCTCCACACCACCTTTCTCTCGGGCGAGCCCAGCTCTCTGTGCCGCCAAAGGAACCGGTCAAGTCATCCGGGTTATTTTTAACCCAAATCAATCAGCAGACAGAGATTGCCAGGCGGCTTTAGCGTCGAGCTGGCGGGAACGCCTTAAGCTGGCCCCGCTGCCGCGGAAGATGTGTGGAGCAGTGCCCCGGGGCAGCCATAACTGGCTTGAACCTTTGATGGTTAAAAGGATGAGTGGGCCTGGCTTCACAGCGCCTGGACAGCTGCTGAGCAGCAAAATTCCACTAACATAACCCACAGTGATGCATATGGGTTATAGGACAATATAGCGAAAAACAAAAACATACACACATTCACAAAACCCCGCAGTCCCGCATTAGTTACCAGCTGCATTTTTTCCCCCCGCTGTGCAAAATGGTTAGCACTGTCAACACGATGCATTCTTTCCAAAAAAATGCTGGTGAGTTCCTAGGACTGCCTTTTCCATATATAGCGGTTTCACTGAGATCGGAGGGTCGGTCGCGGCGAATAACTGATGCACCTGACACTTCCAGTCGCCGCCTGGGGTCAGGCGGGAGAGGGGGGAAGAGTGAACTTCCCCGGCTGAAGAGCCTGCTGCCTGGCATCAGGGGGTCGCAGTGTGCACAGGAGCCGGTTAGCCAGGGGGTGCCCCCGCCCCAGCCCCACCGCCGCGGCCTCTCACCCGGGGTGCTGTCCCCGGCCGGCGGCGGGGAGGTGGTCACCTCGCGGTGACGGCCCAGGAGCTGCCTGGCTCTGAGGAACCAGGTGCCCCCCACCCCCGGAGCCGCCCGGCCGCGGTGGGTGCCTGCCGGGGGGCACTGCCCTCCGCGGCGCGGAGACACGCGGAGTTCATCCATCCTCGGAGAAAATGACTCGTGTTCGGGCTGGCCAGGCTCGGCAGAAGCCTGGCGGGTGCCGTTCCTAGCAGGGTCAGGAGGGTGGCAGGGCAGGGAGCCTGCTTGTGACCCCCCCCCCCAGCCGAAGTCACTCTGCAGGCCCCATACTATAGCCGGCGTGAGGGGCGACGGCACGGCAAGGCGCTCCCTTTTTACGCCCGAAGAGGAAGCCTGTGAAACGGGCACGGCCACGCGCGGATCTCACCGCGGGCACCAACGCGGGCGTGTCCCGCCCCGCCGCACACGGAGGGAGGGCACGAGCAGGAAGAAGAGCAGCGGTGAGCACCAGAGGGAAGATGACGCTTTTCCCAGCAAACTGGTGTGAGTGTGTGTTGCTGCCTGGCATTGAAGTGACAGCTGAGAGAGCATGTGTTTTTCTGTCACCAGTTCCCCCCTCCCTTCCCTTTGTAACTTTTAATGGAAAAATGTGTGGGCAGTTTCCATTATGCCTGCGCTGTTTCAGACAAATTAAGGGGTTGGCTAAGAAATCACTGGTTTCATATTCCACACAAAATACACACACACATGCATATATTTATATGGCTATGTAAATTAATTTAGGATATCCTCTCGTACGTTGCCGAGTGAAGCAGAAGAGCACAGGGCGCTTCGTTTCGGCCCGCACAGGGGGACGAGGCTGGTTTTGCACTTGTGTGACGAGGAGAAGGGCCGGGAAGCTGAGGTGGCAGCAGTCACCCTTCAGCTCTGCCTTTTACTTTCCGAGTGGCAGGTTTATTCACATTTCCCTTTCGGCTGCATTGCTAAAGCCACATACACCTTTTACAACTGTGCTAATTTTCTATCAGTTTAGGGAGTTATAATTTTTTTCCTTATTCATTCTCTATCACAAGAAGGATCTGAGGGAGGTGGGACTTTTAAACACACAGAGAAGCTTTTCATTAAGTGCACAATTTATAAGGGATTCAGAGTGTTACATTCTGGAAGCGATAGCAATATTACACAGGTCAAACCGGCCAAATCCAACAAAGCTAAGTGGGGGTGGCTCTAGTTTTCAGAGGAGCGCTTAGATAATATTTCCTTTTTAAAACTGGGCAAACAACATTACATGTGTAAAATGTCAGAGTTTGCCATTTATTAGGGGCCTGACCAATGCTTTGGTTAGAGTGGAACAGTGCTTCACTCTATGGATTTCGGGAGGGCTCTGGTACGACTGAAACATGCCTGAAGCAAGGGACAAGCATCTGCACACCATGGTGGTAGATGCAGGATGTGAGTCAGAAAGTTTGGGGAGCAGAGAAGGCATGGGAACCAGCCCCCCCCTCCAAGCACCATCTTCCAGGCTGGCTCCTGCCTCTGCACAGCTGTGCTTAACCCCTTCGTTTGTCCCCAAAGCCAAGCTGCAGCCATCCCCCCTTCCTCGCTTCCCAGGGGCAGCTCTTGGGGGACCCTTGCTCAGCCACAAAACACAGAGCCAGGGCACAGCTGGCCTTGCGACAAGCCCCATCTGGCTGAGCAGGGCTCTCCGAGCCGGGTAAGAAGATGGGAAAGGTGCAGATGTACTTGACCATGCAGTTACAGGGATGCCTGTGTCCCGCTGTCCTCGGCAGCGTTTCCCATCAAGCAGTCCACGGGGAGCACCACGGCACGACCCGGCTTCACACACCTCCCGCCTGCCAAAGCAGCGCGAGGGCAAATCTCAAGCAGCTTACCCGCGCTGCCGCGGTCCCCGTCACCTCCCAAATGGATCAGGGATCCAGCCTGGCACGTCGCCTCCAGCCCAAACCAGCCCTCCCAGGAGGCAAAAGCGCGGCTTCGTTTCACGTGCACGTGTCCTGGGCTGTTCCAGCTCCCTCGGGCATGCCAGCGAGTGACGGCTTGGCGACGTGGCAAGGTCTGCCACCGCCTCTGCAGCAGTGACCACGTCTGACGGCAGTGGTGACCTGAGTTCCACGCGCCAGTTCTCTTACACAACCCTCCTCTTACAACCTGCCTGGGAAACACACAGAAAAAAGAGTGTAGAAACAGGAGTCATCTCTTCAGGTTAAGAAAGAGCATGCAGTAACAGGAATGGGAATGACTTCTGACCAGTGTAGAGAGGAAACAATGGTGCACTGAGTTATAAAGTGGCTTCATTAAGGGTCACCAAAATTTAAATCACCGCGTGGGTAATGATAGCATGAAGGGAGGACAGCCTCAGAGAGGGGAAAGTCAGAAGGAAGACAGCAAGTCTTGAAGAGCCGAGCAAGGGAAACGCCGAAGCGGTG